TCTCGTGCGCTACACTTGTGTGTGTGTGTGTGTGTGTGTGTGTGTGTGTGTGTGTGTGTGTGTGTGTGTGTGTGTGTGTGTGTGTGTGTGTGTGCAGGTGCGGTGGCGTTGAAATTGTCATGTTTCGCTGAAGCCGAGCGCGTGTTCATGTTGGCCAAAGACGTGACCATCAATGACAAGTCGCTCACGTCACTCGTCATCCCGGACATCCAGGTACACTGGGGGAACAGTAACTTGCTCAGATGATCAACCTGTCCATCTATTATTATTATTATTGTTAATTTTTTGAATGTGCCTAAAAAATAGATTCAGACTGTAGGGCATGATGCCCTTTTGTATTTTTTTTCAGTCCAATCTTTTTATGTACCAGTTACCATTTACATTCCAGTAGGAAATGTGACTTGAATGGTAAATGATGCACATGCTTATAAAACACATCGTCGCGTGTTTACGGAAGACATCATGACCCCTCACTCGTGTCCAGGTTTTGTAATTTCCTGCTCTCTTATTGTAGCTTATGTACTGTACCTAATCAAGTGGCTACTGGGTGACCTCCGGTGGCCAAAAAGGGAACAACAACAACACAACACACATGAGACATGTTGGTCAGGTGTTCTGTCACTGTTGAAGGGATGCAACTAACATTCATCCCTGTTGTTGATGTCGTGCCACTGCAGCTCAGCCTGCTGGGTGACGACGTGCGCCCCCTGCTGGTGTTTGTCAACACAAAGAGCGGCGGCCTGAAAGGCAAAGATCTTCTGTATGCCTTCCGCAAGATTCTCAACCCGCACCAAGTCTTTGACCTCTCCAATGGAGGACCGCTGCCAGGGTGACTTTCGTACCATTGTGATCAACGTCATATTCGAGACAGGAAGCAAATTATAAGGATTGCTTTGTGTGTGTGTGTGAGTGTGTGTGTGTGTGTGTGTGTGTGTGTGTGTGTGTGTGTGTGTGTGTGTGTGCGTGTGTGCAGCCTCCACACTTTCCGAGACATTCCCAGCTTCCGCGTGTTGGTGTGCGGGGGTGACGGCACAGTGGGCTGGGTGCTCGGCGTACTGGAGGCACTGCGGCACCAGCTGGCCTGCCGAGAGCCGCCCGTTGGCATCGTGCCTCTTGGAACAGGTCATGCGCGCTCTGTGTCAATGGGTCTGTGTGCGACGTGCGTGACTGCAAGTGTACTTGTGTGTGTGTGTGTGTGTGTGTGTGTGTGTGTTTGTGTTCTGTGCATGCCTGTGGCTGTCATTGTGAGAGACTACGAGTATGTGTGGGTGTGTGTGTGTGTGTGTGGGTGTGTGAGCGAGACTGAATGCCAGAGTGCATGAGTGTGGTCCACGTTACGCAGGTGTCCAACTACGAATGTTCCTCCCAAAGGTAACGACTTGTCCCGTGTCCTGCGCTGGGGCCCTGGCTACAGCGGTGAAGACCCGTCTCACATTCTGGCCTGCGTGGACGAGGCGGACGAGGTTCTGATGGACCGCTGGACCATCCTGCTGGACGCGCAGGACCTTGCCGAGAACTGCGCCGACGCCATCCTGGAAGCACCCAAGGTGCGCCTGCTTGCCCGTGTCGAAGCGCAAAATTCCCCAGAAGGGAGTAAAATAATTCCAGTGTCAGCTGACGTCCATCGTTGTCCCAGATTGTCCACATGAACAACTACTTCGGAGTGGGCATTGACGCCGAGCTGAGCCTCGACTTCCACCAGGCCCGTGAAGACGACCCGGAAAAGTTTACCAGCAGGTACGCCATGTGTGATGTCACGTCCCACCACACCAATCGTCAACATCAGCTTGATTAAAAAAGAACAATGTTTCCATCACTTTATTCTGAACCAAGACTTAATTCAGAGGAATGAATTGGTGCTGGCTTTTCTCTTAAGCTTGTAACCATGGGAATAAGTTTTATTTAGTTGTATGCATTATTTTTGTTTGTTTTCAAAGCTTGTTACTATTCCATTGTTTTGTTGTATTTATATACACAAACATTTATTTCATATATTTTTTAAGAAAACGGGGATCTTATAGCTCAAAAACTTGACATGATTGATAAAATTTGAAAAAATTTTTTTTTATTTTTAATCTTAGGCAATAGACATGTTTGTTGTCATCCTCAAACCAAGAGCAGAAGAAGCTCCTCGGCTCAGCTGCAGGAAAAGTCAAAAAAATAATTTCCTCCCTCAAGTTTTCTACAGTAAATCAAGTTTTATAAACTGTCAACATAACACAAATGTTCATCTTTCACTTAGCTTTGTTCTAATTTGAAACAAAACCAAAAACTGCGGGGACTTCCCAGCATGCAGTGTGGCTGCATCACCTTTTTTTTCACTTTGCTTCCTGTACTGCAAGTGTAGTAAGTGAAGCGAAAATAGCACTTCATGTAAATAAAACAAACATGTGTGCGGACTTTCCCCATCAGCCTCTGTTTTTGTTTTGTTGTCTGCCAGGTTCCACAACAAGGGCGTGTACGTCAAGGTGGGCCTGCAGAAGATCAGCGCCACCCGCAGTCTGCACAGGGAACTGCAGCTGCACGTAGATGGGCGCCAAGTTGCACTGCCCAACATCGAAGGCCTCATCTTCCTCAACATTCCCAGGTGAGGACGAGCTCGGTCCACGCCGACCCCGTGACCTCACCCTCACCGTGACCTCACCCTCCCCGTGTCTTGTGCGCCTGTAGCTGGGGCTCGGGCGCCGACCTGTGGGGGTCCGATGCGGACACCCGCTACAACAAACAAAGCGTGGATGACGGCCTGCTGGAGGTGGTGGGCGTCACCGGCGTCGTTCACATGGTGAGCAGACGCACTCTTCAGCCACCAATGGGTTACTATACAGCCGCCGACGGCGCTTAACCCTTTCATGCATCAATAATGACAACCTGTAACCTGATAACATGATAAGCTGTCTACTGTAGTCCCCGCTGTCCCTGAAAAGGGTTAATGGGCCGCTTCGTCCTTTCCGCAGGGTCAGGTGCAGAGCGGCCTGCGCTCCGGCATTCGGATCGCCCAGGGGACTTACATGCGCATAGCGCTCAGGAAAGCTTTCCCCGTGCAGGTGGACGGAGAGCCGTGGCTGCAACCTCCAGGACACATCATCATCTCCGCTGCTGGACCCAAGGTCAACAAACACAAACGGCATACTCTTGAGCTGCCTTTGGCGGGGGAATGCAAACCTCCCTGTTCCGTAAAAATACAAAAAAAAAAAAAAAAAAAAAAAAAAAAAAGGCGAAATGTTCCCAAATTTAATTCCACACTGCGTTGCTTGCATGTGTGTTTGAGATGTGCAGTGTCCTTTTTTTTTTTTCAACGTAAAGTATTGTGCGATATTGTGCAGTGTGGCTGTTATCCTTAAATGGCAAGAGGAGCCATCACATTCATCAGGGCGTGACCGTTTTGAAAACGCATGGTCCTGTGTGGGCATGTTTGACTGGATTCTTGTGTGGTTTTACTGCCTTGCTTGTGTGCCACACCCTATTTTATGTAAGAATAATAAAAACACAGCTGTGGTTATTTGTTTGCGAAAGCACAGATTAGGTTTGTGCAAAAGTAACTCACAGGCTGCTGAAGGCAGGGTCAATGATCCTCCGTTGTTTATACCACTGATCATGGTTCCTTGCTGTTGCCAGGCCATTGCCCAAGAACCTGCAAGTCACAATCAATGACACAAATTTATATACTATATGCAGTATATATTTATTTGTTATTTATCCATGTCTTTCTTCACAATTCACCTTTGACCAAACATGCTGAAGAGGCGTGTGTGGAGGAATAGGTCTTTGGGATACTTGGAGGACATCAAGACTTCCTGAATGTATTAAAAAAAAAAAAACCAAAAACTGCGGGGACTTCCCAGCATGCAGTGTGGCTGCATCACCTTTTTTTTCACTTTGCTTCCTGTACTGCAAGTGTAGTAAGTGAAGCGAAAATAGCACTTCATGTAAATAAAACAAACATGTGTGCGGACTTTCCCCATCAGCCTCTGTTTTTGTTTTGTTGTCTGCCAGGTTCCACAACAAGGGCGTGTACGTCAAGGTGGGCCTGCAGAAGATCAGCGCCACCCGCAGTCTGCACAGGGAACTGCAGCTGCACGTAGATGGGCGCCAAGTTGCACTGCCCAACATCGAAGGCCTCATCTTCCTCAACATTCCCAGGTGAGGACGAGCTCGGTCCACGCCGACCCCGTGACCTCACCCTCACCGTGACCTCACCCTCCCCGTGTCTTGTGCGCCTGTAGCTGGGGCTCGGGCGCCGACCTGTGGGGGTCCGATGCGGACACCCGCTACAACAAACAAAGCGTGGATGACGGCCTGCTGGAGGTGGTGGGCGGCACCGGCGTCGTTCACATGGTGAGCAGACGCACTCTTCAGCCACCAATGGGTTACTATACAGCCGCCGACGGCGCTTAACCCTTTCATGCATCAATAATGACAACCTGTAACCTGATAACATGATAAGCTGTCTACTGTAGTCCCCGCTGTCCCTGAAAAGGGTTAATGGGCCGCTTCGTCCTTTCCGCAGGGTCAGGTGCAGAGCGGCCTGCGCTCCGGCATTCGGATCGCCCAGGGGACTTACATGCGCATAGCGCTCAGGAAAGCTTTCCCCGTGCAGGTGGACGGAGAGCCGTGGCTGCAACCTCCAGGACACATCATCATCTCCGCTGCTGGACCCAAGGTCAACAAACACAAACGGCATACTCTTGAGCTGCCTTTGGCGGGGGAATGCAAACCTCCCTGTTCCGTAAAAATACAAAAAAAAAAAAAAAAAAAAAAGCGCTCTTGTTGAATTACCAGCAAGAGCAAATATTTTCAAAACTTCAGATTGGTCAATCACTTGTCAAAAATAAAAGCTCAATATGGGGACTGACGTACAGAATCTATTTGTGGGGAGGAGGGAAAAAAAGTAGGACTTCGACCATATTTGGACATTGGAGGTTTTGGCCTGACGCCAGCGATATTTAATTGGGCCGGGCAAGTTAAAATTTTAACTTTGTGGCTTCTGTCATTAGATGAGTGAGCTGAGTTTTATTATTTGGGGCAAATACAAATCAAACTGATTACATTTAATTAAGTAAATAATTCAAAATAATAGTAGAAAAAAAAAAAGTCATATTTCGAAAAAAAATTGTTTATCTCTGGTGTTCCTAATGAAGTGACCACGGTGGGGTCTCTTGCTGGCTCGCAGGTGCGTATGCTGAGGAAGTCCAAACACAAACACAGGAAGTCGGCGGGCGGCGCCAAGGACGGGCACCCGGAAAGCTCCGCCTCCTCGGCTGGCGTCCCACTGTGATGTCAGATTGCAACGCCAAGGTAAAAAAAAAAAAAAAACAAAAAAACAATGACGACGTCGCTTTGGATACGCTGGAAACGCTCACCACAAACTCTGTTGTAAAGGAGCGCTTGCCATGGTGACCGACTACTCAGACATTTGGATGTTGTTGTCATGACAACGTGTTTGGTTCATCCTAACGTAGCTTTGCTGATGTTGTGCTAATTATTTTTTTAAATTTAAAAAAAGTTCTTCATGTGTGAAGTCAGAAATGGTGTAAGACAAGATGTTTTTATTTTGTAAAATGTTTACTTGAAAATGTCGACTCGCAGTGATTCTCAGACTGGGGTCCTCAGACAAAATCATGTCAATAAGTAATTGCATTTTAAAAATGTTCATCCAGCGAACCCTGCATATTCGCCTTTCAGCACACTTGAATTCACCAATTTCTCGATTTGTTTTTATCTCTTATTTTCTTTTATTTTTTTAGGAGTCATGCTTTATTTTTTTGTGGAAAAGTATTGGGTGTTATATTTAAGAATTTTGGCGCGGTTATTTTTTTAAATTGTATTTTGCTATTATGTGGATGTCAATGACACACATATTTTGGTGCTTTGCACCCCCTGATGGGTACCAGCCGGCCCACAAACAAGACAGGTTAAGCAAGGACGCTTCCCTACTTTCACTTTGGGCCAATAGAAAGCTCTGTTATGATTGGGACCTACCATCACATATATCGGAAAAATGCATTTTTTTTTCCCAAGAACAAACAACACATTTTTCAGGAATAAATGTCCTAAAAGGCACATCATATTATGAGAATAACATTTTTTTCCAGATTCATTTGTTAAAAAGTGAATTTCTTCCCCTGGTAAAGTTGGAATTTAACATCATTGTCACAACTTTATTTTAGAAAATTGTTTCAATTTAATGATTACATTTATTGAATATTGAATTTGTTGTTGGAATTTTGACAAAATATATTTTATTCTGGAATATTGCAATCTTTTTTGAAAAGAAAAATACACATCGTGAGATTACAAATTTTTATCCCGACCAAATTTCATGACAAAACACAACTTTATGCTCATGAGACTGCAACTTTTCTTTTTACGATGAAATATTCATTTGTCATTTTGACTTTACAATTAATATGTGTGTGTGTGTGTGTGTGTGTGTGTGTATATATAAATACTCTATTCCTCTAACATGACTTTTTTAAATAGGACCATACTCATAACTTTACAACTTTTTTTCTATTCATTTAAAACTGAATTTCATTTTATCGTAACATTCTACGTATTTTCTGGGAATATCGGTGGTTCCTATCCTGTTTCAGGGTACCCTCTAAACGAACGTGCGGGCTTTTGGTTTTAGCAAGTTAGCGTGTTTACTTGAAACGTGGCAACACTCGCTCATCCTCCGGGAAGAAAGAGGAGCGAAGGTCATGTTGGATTTGTAAGCCCCCCTTACTTGAAATGGTCATCTTGTTTACCTTTGTTTTACTTAGATGTCGCTTAGTGCATTAGCCAAGTGGTGACACATGAATGGGAGCGGGAAAAGTGGTAGTGTGTTTACAGGTGTGATTTGAACACTGTCCCGTTTAATAGCTATCACGTGACCTCAACAAATGTCATCGTTCTTTTGAGCGCCTCGCCGATATGGATTTATTTATTTATTTTTTGGGGGGCCAATTCTGATATTGAGTGTCATAAAATTCTGATAACCCATTAATCTGCTGGTTCATTAAAAAATGAATTAAGTAACTTATTTTTAGCCCCTTAACACTTAAAACGATAATCATCAATTACAATGAGAATATTTGACTGACAAGACTTTGTCCTCTAGTAGTTAAGAGTTTAATTTGCAAAAACAAAATCATTATCTTGATCCAAAAAATTGCCGATTTTAAAAGCTAATATCGGCGGATTAAATCGGGTGTGTCACGTTTGCAACTGCGAGTTGTTAGAAATGTCCGCCAACACTAAAGTGGCGCACTCCGCCGCTGTGTTGCTGACATCTTGTTGCTCATGTGCTTTCATAACGTAATGAAGACTACAGTATACTGGTTTCCATCCATCTGTCCGTACATCCTGGTTGTGGTGATTAAGCCCCACCCCCATCATATCTGTTTCATGGGATAGAAAAACACTGCATTAGTATGATGACTATTATGAACCCAGCATTCATTCAACTGCCTTGATATCAGATCCATCCACTACTACATTCTTCGGCCTCACTAGTGAGACAGTTCAGCGCACTAGTAGAACAACTGTGTCTTACGAACTCGCCCGCAACAGTATGCAGAAATGTCATACTGGGCACTGGGCATACTTGGACGACATCTTACAAGTGATATGGAAGCAATGCTTGCAAGGGTTCTCTTCAGCTTGTGAGCAGTGCCTGACCGATGCAAATTGTCATGAACATTTGTCAACAATATAGAGCAACTCACTCCAAACCACCGATGACGTCATAGTGTGCTCATGGCGTCACGTTTGCTTTGTTTTACTGTCTCGACATTGTGGAATGTTGGTGGAAGTATTAAAAATAAAAAAATAGTTTGTGTGCGTGCCTGTCTGTTTCATGTTGTTATCCACCCGGGGCGTCAAAAGTCAAAGTTGTCTTTCAGCTCGGCAACATAAACAACAAGGTTAGTTTTGCCACCACTTTTGTTGTGATTGGCATCAGGTAACACTAAGCCAGGCTTGAAACCTGACCTTGTTTAAACCCCTAGCCCAGGGTGAAAATCTTAATTTGAAACCCGAACTGTCACTTGAAACCCTACTTTGAAACCTTAACACCGAACCCCTACTTTAAAATCTTAACACTGACTTGAAACCCCAACTTATATCTTGAACGCTTCCTTCAAACCATAACCCTTGTTTAAAATCCTTGCTCAGAATAGCCTTGACGTGGAACCCTAACACTTGTTTAAAACCGCAACCCAGACCTAAAAGCCTACTTTGAAACCCTAACCTTGACTTGAATCCCGAACACGTTTTCCTCATCAAAATCGAGACATGAATTAGAAATTTGAAACTTCAACTCTGAAAACCATAACTTGCTTGCTCCCTTGTTTGAAAGCAGAACTCTTAAGACTCCACTTTGAAACCCTAACCCTGACTTGAATTTTGTTTATCCAGGCGTGAAACCTGAATTTTAAAGCTTAACCTTGCTTGAAAACTGATCGTGAATTTGTTAAAAAAAAAAAAAAAAGTGGAAGTTGTGGTGCTGCCATAGTTGACCAGCAGGGTGCAGGAGGTTCCCCCAGTGAAGATCTTCAAAATGTGTGAAGAGAGCTCACTCTGTATGGCAAAATGCAAACCAGTGTGAAGTGGAGGACTTTTGACAAAGTGCAAAGCAGGGGGGGGGGGGGAATCAACATTTGCCACTTTTTTTCGACATTATTTCATGTCGTCATGTGCGCTTGGTCCACTTTGACCTCTTTGGTCGTCCCCACGAGATTGGATTTCCTCCCACCCCGTGCTTGTTTCTTTTATAAGTGTAAATGGGACTGTTAGAAGTGCAACAATTCATAAATGAATTGAAAACTAATTAATGAATAGACATCTATTTAGTTGATTTATCTTTTTGTGATGTTGTAACTGAAATATTTAGCAGTTCAACCTCTTAATGGGGAAGCTCTGATTTCTGGAGTCATGGTTATCTTGAGACGTGCAAACATCTGCTTTGATTCCGCAAAACGAAAAGTGCTTCGTCTGATTTTCAGACAGATTTTGCAAACCAAACCTGAAAGACAATAATTTCTCTTCGTTCATTTTCCAAATTAGCAATCGGTTAAAATTCGTCCTGTTTTCATGACAGCGATATCCATTTGATTTTTTTTTACAAAAATCATTGTAAAAAGTTATTTTTATAAATCCGATTCATTGAAAACGATAATCGACGGGTGGCTTGATAATGGACATAAAATTACTTTGCTGAAGAAATACCCCAAATGAGATCAAGTCGAGACGTTTGTTGTGACCAGACAGAGTGATACGTCTTCATTGGTGCGAATCTCTGCAGCGCGTCAAGGCACGGGGAATTTCCCGACGGGAAGCAAGTCGAGCTTTAATGCCGGGGATTACTATTCGCATGTTTTGTTTCGTTTTTGTTTTTTCAATGAAGAACAAGTAAAGCAAGTGTTCTGGTACACATTTGCCCAAATCTTTTTCTGTCTCTCTCTTTCTCCTGGTTTCCGTGCTGTTTTGCGAAATGACGTCACGGCGGCTTGTGACTGCAATGGCGGCGCTGCGCGTGTCAATCAAGTCGTCAATTTGACACAAATGCGAAGAAGCAAGTGAGGCGAGGCCGGTCCACCTACAAGGTAACGACACACTTTCGCCTGTGACTTTCACCGGCGAATGTTGACGAACGTTGGCCAAAGTCGCCTCGCTAAACAAGCGTCCTTTTGTCGCGCGCCCACTTCCTCATTCAAGTCGCTTTGAAAGTCGATTGCTGCGCTCCAACTCGTCCAAAAGCCACGAAACGTTTTCACGCCTGGAGGCGGACCACTCGGGAAAGTTGGTCAATCGCAAAAGGATTGGGCGCGGGTTTGAAAAGGGTCTCCGGGAAGACTGGAAGGGACTACATTGTGCGTATTTAGCTCCCTCGCTCCCACGGGCAAGAAGTTTGAAAGGGTTCGGGGAAGGCAACGACAATCCCCACTCAAGTCGGTTCACTTCGTCATCGTCGTTTTGCTCGGATTTAAAGGCTGAATGAGACCCACTTGTACAAAATGAAAATGTATGGCAAGCAAATTGCTGGGCTCGTCAACTGTGGGCTGGAACCCGCAAGTGCCAATTTGTTATTATTCCATTTCACTTTAATGTCAAGCCAGTCATACTTGAATTCACTCGTACTTGGCATGTAGTCGGCTTACAAATATCGACGTATTCAAGAGGTACTTTAAAATCGTTAAAGGTATTATTACTGAATTGAACTCGGATTTGACATAGATTGTATTCAGGGGCGTGCAGAGGGCGGGGCCAACGGGGGAGGGGGGGCACAGGTGTCCACCCTGGGTGGGGAGAGCATCCACAGCCAGAACTGGACTAGCACAAAAAATCGACCCTGGTATTTTGGCTTTGACCAGCCCTCACGGACACCTGCACATTCTTGCGACCTTGTATCTAGCGGAGAAATCATTGTTTGTCATACCATCCACAGTCAGTGTTTCATGAAATAAAATGCGCACACATCCGGAACCTTTGCTCAAGACACATACATAATCCAAGCATGATCAAGTCTAAGTAACAGTATTTTGCTGATCTTAATTTACAAAATAATGCCAATTTCTTTGCCGTTGCTTTGCTTGGGGGTGTCAAACCTCAGTTCTCCAAGGCCAGTGTCCTGCATGTTTTACATGTTTCCCCTCCTCTGAAAGGAAACATGTATTTTGCATATTGTGTTTAATGGCCCTTTCATTGAAATCATATCTAAAAAGAACAATATCTTCATTCTTCACAATTATTATCTTTCCTTTTTACTTGAGTTTCCTGCTTATATTATGAACGTGTTCAGCAAAGTTGTGGAATTGTGTGCTTTTTATTCCATGAAATCATGACTGTGGATGGTATGATAAACAATCACTTCTCAGTCACATTTGCTTGCTTTGTTGTGAAAATGATGGATATAGTTGACTGTAAGAATCAGATGTATTCTTTTTGAAGACAAATTCTTATGAAAATGTATATATGGACATTGTTCTTGACCACACCTGGCTACCACATACCTTTGCCACTGATGTTGATTAGTTCAGTGTGCTGTTCATATTGTAAATGGACTGATGGGCTGCTCCCATTAAATTGTGGGCCAACCAGAGCACTCAGTTAATGATTATTTGCAAAAGACAAAGTTTATCCTTTTGAATGTTAAATATCTTGTATTTGTAGTATATTAAATTCAATATAGGTTGAACATGATTTGGAAATCATTGCATGTCATTTTCTTCGTCATCAACATTGTAAGACCGAATCAACCAAGTGGATAAACAATCACTTTCTTCTTCCTCCCTTTTCAGGCAGCATGGCGGGAGACGAGCACTTCCTTCCTGTCGGCAGTCAGGTGTGCACGCTTGTTACATCAAAGTAAACAATGTCTTGAATTTTTAATTTCAAATGTTTGTATTTGTTTGCGGCGTCAGATCCTGGACACGCTGATGATGGATCCCTCGTGGGACATTCCACAATTCCCTGTGCTGCAGTCGCACCCGGCGTCCACCAGGATGGGTAAGCGCATCACTTCCTGCCACACAGGAAGTTGTCGTCCTCGCTCAAACATTTGACATGACCCCCACTCGCGCGGAGACTAGCGGCCAACCTGTCTGGAGTTTTGGGAGGCCGAGTCCGATATTTGCCTGAGGGGGAAAAAAAATCAACTTAATTAGTTGATGAATTTAAATATGAATAATTTCTTTTTTGGTTCCCAGATGCTTTCAAGGACAATTATCCATGACAGGCAAAACATTGGACTGTTTTCCTAAATAATTATTCTTTGTTATTTGTTGAACGAAACCAGAGAGAGGAATTTTCAAGTGCAAAAAAAAAAAAAAATGCAAACACAAAACAAAATACGCATGAACCCATGAGTTAATCTTTTGATTGAGGCCCTTATGTATGTACAAGCAACATCACGAGTCAACTTCCGGGCAAAAGATGATTTTTGCACGATGCCCTTTTAACCTGAAATCACATTTTTCTTTGAAACGAAAGCATGATGACTTTGTCATATGTCAAAACACGTCATCTTTGACACAGTTGCGTTTGAAATGATGTCGCTGTTCACAGAGTGAGTGAGAAACGCATTTCAAGTGTGAGAGTAGGTTGAGGTTGTTGTGGTCAAGAGAAGGCAGCCTGATCTTTTTCTTCTTCCTCTTTTTTTAAGTTTCCCATCAAGAAATGTGCATCCACAGTAACACAAACACGGAAACATAGTCAAAAAGTTTTCCTAATATATGCGATAGTTTTTAGAAAACCAGCTCCATATTATTCCACTTGTTGTTGACGGTAACAAGTGGAAGATTTTGCTGTCAAAGCAAAATCGTGCTCAAGAGCTTCTTCGGCACCAACGGAACACATTAACTTCCACATTGTTGGTGTCAATGTTCCTGCGCACGACTCCCATGAGGACTTTTAGAACTGAGTCTTTGGCTCCCTTAGACGTGTATTGGAACGCGCAATGGGTTTGGCGCTCCATCTAGTGGACAAACAACTCAAGGACATAATTTGGAGTGACTCCCACACTAAACACATTTACCCTTTCACGAGAAAGTACGAATATCCTATCAGGCAGATAGGATTATTCTGGAAAGGTCCAATACCAGACGATACAATTGCACAATTGGTTTTTTTAAATGTATATAAAATGTTTTCTTTCATAGTTTTAGCACTCCCACTAGCTTGAAAGACATTTCACTTGTTCTTAGTTCATCATATATGAAGTGCGGAAAACCTCAACCTGAACATGAAATCCTGTTTTTGTCTCGTACTCTCTTGAAAGAGAGGAAGTTAGTTAAAAAAGAAAATTTGAGTCTCAAGCGATACTTTGTGGTGGCGGGAAGACGAAAGAAGTTTCGTGACGCGGCAACAGCGGGCGGCGTCCCTCCGCTTTCACTTCCTGTTTGTCACTCTTGACGCCAGGCCGCCTTCACACTTTGGCGTTGACGTGATGCATGCTGGATGTTGACGGCAAAAAGCGACTTTTTTTATATACCGGTATATAAAAAAAAAAAAAAAAAAGAGTTGCACATGGAAAGTCATCACTGGAGCCCACGCAGGAACGACGACAGTCACCTTCATTCAAGTTGACTGTTTCCATGGAGACCACCATTTCCTGTTACCCAGAAACATTCAATACAGCGACGCCTGCTTAATGACGGGGTTGCGTCCTGCTCCAGCAAATTTGCAACAGATGAAATTTGACAAGTAGCCACCAATTATGCATTGTGTCGTGATAAATATTTTATGGTTTCAAATAACGATTATTTGAATACAGTCATTGATTGAAACTGTTGATTTTTTTTCTTTTTTTGCAATTAATCCGATTAAAAAAATGTCTCACAGTGATCAAGTGAGGATCCAAATATATATTTTAAATCTTAAAATAAGCATGCGAGTTGCAGCTATTTTTGTCCACTTTGGGTTGCCATCCACGCATTCGATGCCAAGGATCGTCACCAACATTATTTTTTTCAAACCTAGGCCAGCCTTCAAGATATCAGTAAATACAAAAAAAAAAAAAATTAAAAGACCCGAGTGCTATAACAAATGTGAAACAATCCAAGTCTCCATAACGCTATTGCACCATGATGGGGAAATTGACTTAATCGTTTTGAAGAAGTTGTGTTTTGCTTTTCAGGGGATGGCCCCTTCCTCCACATCCTGGAGCAGCCAAAACAGGTACGCGCCCGACATACGTCAACTGCACAACACCCGTCTCCGGTCATATTGGTCCGCATTCCTTTTGAGGTGTAATTGCAGATGAGTCTCGAAAGTATTTGAGATTGCCACAAGAGTTAGCGGTCTCTGTAATATTGGCAACATGCAGACATCCTGCATGTTACACACTCAGACGTGCGACTCCTTTTTCCAGATGTTTCACATTTTCAGTTTCCACTGGATACAAAACATGTTTTCCTTATAACGTATATAAGATGTATATGACACATGTACAGGTCATGTGTTTTACTGTTGTATGTTGTATGTATGATGTGTAAATATTGGAAGATGAGAAAGGATGAATGAATCAGCGCGCTCATTCGTGAGCATGATGTTGTCACGTGACGGACCGGCAACGTTTTGCGTTTGCGTTTTGTCAGAGAGGCTTCCGCTTCCGTTATGGCTGCGAGGGTCCGTCTCACGGCGGCCTGCCTGGAGCCACCAGCGAGAAGAACAAGAAAACGTATCCTGCCGTCACGGTAACTTTATTCCAAAACAAAGACAATTGCATCTTGTATATTTCAAACAATCTTTTAGCGAAGCTTTTCAGTCTGCTACCTTAATGCGAAGATAAAATCCATTTTTCATTGCTTCAATCATTTAAGCAACAGATTGGAAACAAACAGTGCAGCAACTACGTGAACAATATAACAATGCTCCCAGTTATGTATTCTTTATCCTCTGCGTGGAATGAGTAATATTTGTGCCGCACCGCTGAGCTGAGGCGTTAATCTGAATCCCAGTTCTATGCAAAGCAACCTACTTTTTTTTGAGACATAACAACGCGCTTTCTCCTGGTTGTCGAGGCATTACATCGGATGAGCGAGTGACAGTTTTGGTGGGTGTGCTTTGCGTAGATTTGTCACTACCAGGGTCCGGCCCGCGTGGTGGTCCAGCTGGTGACGGCGCTGACGCCTCTCCCCCGACTGCACGCGCACAGTCTGGTGGGCAGTGGTACATATGCATTTGTTATGTGTGTTCAGATTCCCCAACTTGGGCATCCAGCACGTGACAAAGAAAAATGTGGCCAAGACATTGGAGGAGCGCATGTGCGAGGCTGTCCGCATGGGCTACAACTTTGGGGTCTCCATCCACCCAGATGTCGACACCCAATGCGCCGAAGCCCGCGTGCCCCGACAGCTCTCCGGTCCGTCCATCCGTCCGCGTGTCCGTCTCTTCTTTCCCGTGTCGCTGCGTGAAAGCTGCTGACACAGCACGCGGGGCAAATTCAGCCCACCAATTTCCAGTTTGCAAAACTAGCCGTGTGAAAGGGGTTAGCGGAAAGTCTCAATTGTCAACACCATCTCTTCATCGTCACTTTACTGACGTGTGTGAATGTGCACACAGTTGCTGTAATGTTGGCTGTGCCTCTGCATGAAAGGCAAAATTAGTTGTAATTTGACGCCTTCCCGAGGCGAACATAGGGGATGTTGTCTGCGTGAAAGGAAGTGATTGCGGGATGCCTAGTTGCAGTGTGAAAGTGCCATGAGTGAGAGCTCGCATCACCCAGTGATGACATCAGTGTTGGAATCTGTTCCAACATGAGCCGATAAATTGTCAAAACAGAATTCAATCAAATGTAAAGCACTGATAATTTCATGCCGCCACTTCTGGTGTACTCGCCTTGGCCACCGAGGGGCAGTATAACAACGTCCAGCCATACAGACACAGTTGAAGAACAGACTTCTTCTTCTGCTACCCCTCACGAAAATGCGATATTAATACTTGCTTTTCACGGAGGATAAAGAATATACGTCTGTGAGTAATGTTCCATTATTTGTCAACAGGCATCGTTTCACCATATATGTTCCAATATCCGGTCGCTGTTAGCATCTCAATGGCATTTTATATTTATGTTAGCAGTGAACGAGCAGGCTGTATTGAAGGAATTTCCTTGTTTTAAATGTGTAATTCTCACTGTTTTATGTTTGGACTGGACAAGCCGGTCCCGCTTTTCCGCGTTCCCCGTTCCACACATTTGACTTCTGCTGCCTCTCAAGTGTCAACGCCTTTCCCGAAGAGCACCACCGCCTCTCGCAGGCGGCGCAAACGAGCGTAATCTTGTGTTGTGCCGTGTGCAGAGCAGCAGCGCGGCGCGATCTGCGGCGCGGCATGTGTGCAGGCCAAAGAGATGGACCTGAGCGTGGTGCGCCTCATGTTCACTGCCTTCCTCCCCGACAGCGACGGCGCCTTCACCCGGCCGCTGCACCCCGTCCTCTCGCACCCCATCTACGACAGCAGTCAGTACACACACCCACCAATACCCTCACCATGCGCACATGGGCTCAACGAACCGTGCTTCCTCCACACGCAAACATGCACACATAGACATACATTGACACACAAAGCCACATACACACACAGACCAAGAAAAGAAAAAAAAGCCAGATTCAAGAAAGTTTACAAAAAATATATATTTTTAAAATAGTACCTTTTTTCAAGAAAAATAATCATATTAGGAAAGTAGTATTTTTTGAGTTGCTGAAAAAAAATCACTAGAATTTTTTTTTCTCGAAAAGTAATATTACAGAACATTTTTTATTTTTAAATGTGAATTGTTTTTTTTTTTCAAGCAAAAAAGATGGTAGTAGGTTTACATGATTTTTTTCCAATTAAAAAAAATCTCTAATGTGAATAGTAAAATAGAGAAGTATCCAAAAAAGAATTAAGAAGACAAAAATAGATGTTTATTTTCCAATAAAATAAATACTAAAAATTGTTACACGTGACTCGAAATGGTTTTAAAAGACTTAAAAATCAAGTCTGTCCCTACTTCAAGTCATTGTGAGAACGTTTTGTTGAGAAAAAAAACAAGTGGAGTTGATTTTTTTTCTTTTTTAAGAAAGTTATGACGAAGAGTAAAGTCATCATTTCTCAAGAAGAAAAGTAATTTGTTTTAAATTGTTTGAAAAAAAAAAAAAGTCCTTGTTTTCCAACAATTATGTATCCCCCCCCTCCCAGAAAAAAAACATTATGAGACTAAAGTATTTTTTCAAGAAGAAAGCTGTGTTAAGAGTACCGGAGTGATTTTTCAAGGAAAAAATTAATTTTCCTGGTAGATGATAATCAGACCTGAGTGACTTTTCTTTTGTTTTTGTCCTCAGAGGCTCCCAACGCATCAAACTTGAAGATAGTTCGCATGGACCGTACGGCAGGTTGCGTGAGCGGTGGAGAGGAGGTCTACCTTCTGTGTGACAAAGTCCAGAAAGGTTGCGCACGCACAAGAAGTGCATGTTGCGCTTTCCTCAAGTGTCACGTGACAAACGTGTGCGTGTGTGTGTGCCACAGACGACATCCAGGTGCGCTTTTTCGAGGAAGACGACTCAGGTCTCACCTGGGAAGCTCTGGGAGATTTCTCCCCCACGGACGTGCACAGACAGGTAAGCGCCTTCACACGCAACCCGTTGTAACCACCAAAGGTTATTATAGTTAACAAAAACTAGCAAAATGGTTGAAAAAGCATTTCATGAATAAAATAAAGCAAAAATGTTTTTCCATTTCAAAGAAGAAATTTTGTTGAAGTATTGTAGTTACACAATACTTGATGAATTTTTATTTTATTTTTATCTTGTGCTCAACAATGCACCAAATATTTTTGAAAAAATAAAAACACCTTCAAAATAACAAACTTGCTCACAAAAATGAATGAATGAATGAATAAATAAATAACGATAATGAAAAATCCCAAACCATTATAACCCCGGTAACCGCGGCGACATACTTTGCCTCCTCAGTTTGCCATCGTGTTCAAGACGCCCAAGTATCGTGACCAGAACCTGCAGAAGCCCACGCCGGTTATGGTGCAGCTCAAGAGAAAGTCGGATAGCGAGACCAGCGAGCCCAAGCCCTTCACGTACCACCCGCAGATCATCGGTACGTCCTATCCGTCGCCGCGATGCCGGCAAACAAAAATGCCATAAAATGTCAGCGGTGCCACGAAACCATCATACAGCCCACAAGTGTTGAGCGCAATTTTGTCTTGTGCGTGTGTAGACAAAGAGGAGGTGCAGAGGAAGCGTCAGAAGACGTTACCCAACTTCCAGGACTTCAGCGGCCTTGGCGGCGGCGGCGGAGGAGGCGGCGGCAGTCTGTATCGAGGAGGCCCGGGACCAGGAGGAGGGCCAGGCTCCGCCGCAGGCGGTAAAACCCACCACGCCGGTCTTGAGCCCCTCTCGCATGTGTCATTGCCAGGTGTGAAAAACGAGGGCTTAGACATGAGATCATCAGTCCTGACCAAGGCTTTTGTTCCAGCAGGTTACTTTCAGGGTTTGTCCGCATTCAGTTACGGGAGAGGAGCTGGAGGCGGAGCTTGTCCCACCGGCTACGCAACAAGTCTCGAAGGAGGTGGAGTCAAAGATGGTGAGAAACGTGCTCAGCTGCTAGTTGCTCGACTGCCCACTGGGAAATTAAACGGCGGCCTTTCGTGGTCTAGTCGTGCCTCATTGTGACATCACATTTGGGATGGTTTATGTAATCGCGTCCTCACCGAAGGAATTTATTGCGAAAAAATATGGAACAACAATTGAATTTCAAGTTGGACTGGGGAACAAGTCAACGAACTGTTTTTCTTTTGTAAGGCTTTTATTTTGAAAGTCAATGAACTTTGGGAAAGTATCAGTTGAACAGTCTGGAGTTGGAATAGTTGAAGGATCCTTTAGTCATGAAATGCTGCCTCATAGATGCAGTCAGATCTCAACGGGTTTTCTCTTGAAGTCTGAGGAAGACAGATTTAGAAAACACCGTTTTCAATTGTGGATTTTTTTTTTCTTTTCTTTTAGAGAATTCTCCTGGCAACTCGGCACATGACAATGACACCGACAAAGATCCCGATGACGGCTCGGCAGCCTGCGCTGTGATGCGCCCACCGCAGCAACAGCAACTGCAGCAAGATGTCGATGACGACGAGGCGACCAGCGAGCACGCGTCGGCCATCTTCCTGTACGCCGCCACTGGCGACGCGGCTTACCTGCTGGCCCCTCAGCATCCCCTGATGGCGGCGCAGGACGACGACGGAGACACGTGAGTGCGCCTTGATGTCCTCTCCGCTCAGGTGTTTGTCGGAACGTTGAACGGTGGCCGCTGCGCGTTATGTGTGTCAGGGGACTCCACCTGGCTGTCCTGCATGGCCAGCAGGGGGCACTGGACAGTCTAACCCGGGTGCTTGCAGGGCTTCCGCCGGGAGACCGACTTCTCAACATGAGGAACCATCTCTACCAGGTGAGACCGCATCACTCAATGTCACTGCACATACAGACCACAGAAAACAGTGGTCGGCAGTTATTGTAACATTGGACAGTGACAGTCAGGTCACATGTAGACACACCATGGACTGGCAAAAGGCAAGTCTGGGCTTTCATAATACGAACAAATGGATGATGGACAGTGTAGGGTTTATTTATTTTTTATTTTCTTTTTTTTTTTTTTTTTTTTTTTTTT